TAAGTGAATGCAACAATCTGAAGTCTGCTTCTGAAAAATATCAAAGACATAGTTTCAAGCAGTCATGAAGCTTCAGTTTGTAGGATTGCTTCAATACAAACTCTTCATCAGATACCAAATATTTAAGTATAAGACTTGAAGATGAGATAAGGCTTTATTATTGTCAATGAACTTGATAACAACATCGCCGTTATAAGACCCAAAATAAGCAGAGGTAACTAAAAAAAACTCTTGGCCTCCACCAACCTCACCTGGAAGTGTGGTCCTGCTTAACATCATGAATGTTCAGTATTGGACCCCTAGAGCATTCCAATAACTGACAGGGCCAAAAAATGATGATTCCTGTACTCTAATTTCAAACTTTTAAAATCCAACTATTTAATTCTATGATAGTGGCATTTGGCTTTTGGTCTTAGTTTCATCCAAGAGAAGACTAAGGATAAATTGAATACTAAGCCAGTTGCCATTCCACCCAGGTGAGCACGTGATGCTCCTTGGATTTTAATGACTCCTGGGGTATTAATGAAGCCCTCAGACTGATGTGGTGGGCAGGGCACAGGCACAAGTCCAGTGCCTGCCTCTGCCCTGCTCTGAGCTGGCCAAGTGAGTGTTCAGTTCTTCATCTGTGAAACAATGGTGAGAGTATCCATACACCACAAGATTACACAGAGGCTAAATAAGATAACACATAAAAGTATGTATGTAAAATGGGTTCTCAGTACACGTGGATTTCTCATCGTCCAAAGATCTGATAGGGTCATTTCCATCTGTACACTGCCTGGGTACAGCAATGTGCAAATAATAATACCCTTGGCTGTTATTGTGCCCTTCCATTAAGGACAAAGAAAGCACTGTCTGTGAGTTACTCCTCCTCCTCTCAGACTGATACTCCCAGCCTGGCTAGGTCCTCCTCTTCCTTTAGGAACTCAGTTCTGGCCTTGTTTTTGTCTTAACCACATTGTATTACATCCTTTTAAAAATACCTATCCTGTCTATTAGATGGTGAGTTACTAAATGCAAGAACTGGATTTTATGCATCTATGCTCAGTGCCCAACACCTTCCCTGGACTATGGTAGCTGATAGACTAAACGCTTGACTGAAAGACTCTCCTGTTAGGTACTGTGCCTGACCTACTCCCATGTCCTTGCCCTGCTCCCATAACACTCTCCTTTCTATTGATTCCTGCTCACGTTTATTAATGATTAACAAGCCATAAAGATAATGAAACAATAAAGCAAGTATTATTGGCCTTGAAAATCTTAAGTACTGTCTATTAATATCATCATATGGTTTGGGTATAAGGCCATCTGAAACACTGTAATGTTTGATGGGTTCATCACAATGCCCTTCCCCCTCTATGATTCTAAAACACAAGCCCCTATATTTCAATACCACTCTTTTTCATCCACTGAATTTTGAATTAATGTGGTTTCCACATGAGAGAAGATAGAAGGCCAGGTAGTATATAACAGCTAAGCGTGTGGCCCTGCAGGAAGGTGGACTCGTGTTTGAGTCTCAGTTCTGCCATTACTCGCCATGTGATCATGGGCAAACTACTAGGATCTCCTCCTAAAACAGTAATAATAATCATTCCTACCTCTTTGAGTTGAGGGTGGGAGTGGGGGTTAAAAGAGATAATGTCTATAAAGCACTTGGCACAGTCTGGCCCACAGTGGGTTCTCAAATGAAATGGCAGGTAAGCATTTAGTTACGTAGAGCCACACACACGCTTTGTAGAGGAGAAATGGATCCTAGAAATAAATTCTCCCAAACCCTTCATTTTAAGGATGAGTCAACTGAGGCCCAGCAGGAGTCTGTGGTTGCCAGAGCCTCATCTTGAGAGGCAGAGGGATAGAGGTGTGTGTACCCCATTCGAGCCTCATGACAAAGCAGTCCTAGATCTCAGTAGACTAGGTTGGGAGGATCAACCTCAATCTACTCACAGCTTTGCACAAGCATCATGGATGTCACTGAGGGGATGAATTTTAGGAACCCTAGTGGTATTTGCTGCTTTCTGATGGCCCTACTTCTCCCAGAGCATGGGATGAACTTGGGTTACCTCTTCTCCTTAATCAGGAGCTTGGAGATGAACTCCCTCGCCTCCTCCGAGATGTCCTGAAATTCTTCATCCTCTAAGTCCCACCTGCAGGCCAGGATATTGTTCAGCGTCTCCGCGTCGTTATCACCCAGGAAAGGGGACAGGCCGCTAAGTCTATAGGACACAGGATCCAGAGTGAGTATGTTTAAAACAGCCTCAAACCCTTTACAGATAGGTTGCTTTTTTGCTTCTGCCATTTAAAAGCGAGAGGAGGAAAATAACCTAATAATGAAGCATAATTTTATAATATATTTTGAATCAAGCAAATGCACTCCCCACCCCAGTCCTAATTAAACAGCTACAGCAATGGAGGCAGCAGTCACACTCAAATATGAATCTCAAAGAATAGCAAAACTTCCTTTTAAACTCGCTTTACAGATGACAAAGTGCTGTCACATACTCAGATGGCAAATGCCAGGCAGGTCACCTCTGAGGAGTGAGGCCTGCATGAGTCATTTAGGAGATCAGGGCATGAGATTTTTGTTTTTGTTTTTTACTTATAATACTTTTGGGGCATTAAGTGATATTTAGCAGTTAAAGTGATTAGTGAAGAGGACATACTTTACTTTTTCAGATGATGTGTAGGGAAAGAATTCCCTCCTTTAGCCCACAAGGCGAACCTCGAAAGCAACTGAGTATGGTACGGTGTTATTTATTTTTAAAAGACCTAAATTGGGGGTTTTATTCAAAACAGCAAAACCTCATGGAAGACGATGGAGATTGAGATCGAGTGTGATAGGGGCGGGAGAGCGCTCACAGCATGTAGGCGATCACCCCCACGCTCCACATGTCAGTGGGAAAGGAAACGAAATCGTAGTTCACAACTTCAGGGGCGAGAAATTCCGGGGTTCCAAAGTTCACCTTCAGCTTCTCTCTGGGTTTGTAACTGGAATTTAAGAGACAACGTGGAAGGACGGAGAGTGTCAATCACACGTAGTGAAAACTGAAAAGCTGCGGTTAGCGATACGAAGTAACTTCAGCTATACAAAGAACTGCAAATAGATAGACTTTAAAGGAAATCACGAACTTAAGCAATAGTGTCAAAAATTTGTAAAGAGGTCCCTGGAATTTTATAAGTTGAAATTTGTACTAGAAAACCTTAATAATCTGAAACAGTTGTGGGAAAAGCCAAGCCAAATAATTAGAACATCTGAATTATAGAAGATGACAAAAGGAAAACTGATATAGTCCATGACGTGGGATGGCTTGAATAAGCCTGTATTAAACCAGTAAACAGGATGCCAAGATAATTTACAACATCCATTTTATATGCATCGTTAATGTGCTTGATTGTTAATGTGTCCCCATAAACTCTTTGTTCCTTGAACCAGCTTTTTTGTGCCAGAACCCTTTGCACTCTTACTTACGCTATTAATATTTTTTAAAAGTAACTCTTCTCTGTACAGATGGAACAAATACAAAAGACTAAGACAAACTCTTACAAAAGCTTAAATTAATGGCTTCTAATGTAATAAACTTTACTGCATTAGATTTTAATATTTCATATTTTTTTTTGCGTGTATCCTAGAAACTTCTAAACATTCAAATCTCAAACTTAGCAAGGTAAGGCTGAATGTAATTTTTGCTAAATTAATTCTAAATTACGGCATGAAACCAAGGGGCATATCAGATTTATCTCTGCAAAGAAAGAGCACCCATCATGTCCCTTAACTCCATTCCCCTGTGTTCAAACAGACATACCTTCTGGCCAATCCAAAATCAATAATTTTTATTTGCTTAGCATCCCGATTCACACACAGGATATTCTCAGGCTGCCAGGAGAAAGAGACACATTAGCAATGAAAACAACCATCATTCACTCAAATTGTCCTCGAACCACAACTAAAAATACAACGATGCTCAGGACAAACATATCAGGCCTTTCACTTAGGGGCTGGCTCGTCTGTGTGTGTATTTCCTGCTTTCATTATGCGGTGGGTGAGGTTGTGGGTCTCTTGCCAACCCTGCGTTACCCCGCCTGTCCTCGCCCTGGTTTCGCAGTTTACCATGCAGCACGAGTTCAGGCAGAGGCCTCCTTGAGGGAAGAAAGAAAAGGAGGCTGATTCAGAACTTTCCAAACGGACGGGTGGAGGCCAGCTCAGACCTGCCTTCTGCCCCCCTAAAATTATTAACATGAATGTCCCCTTCTTGGAGAAATATTTTCCCAAAGATTTATGACGTCCAAGAGAAATGGCCGATTCATTTCAACAGCCACACCGAGCATGCACCATAACGCGAACGTTCCGACCGCCAGCGTTTCTCTTCGTGCTTTCTCCATGGGAAAGTCGTGCATAAAAGGAAGGCTTTTCTCTCCTGGTCATCCTTCAGTGTCGGTAATTCCAGGGTCGCGCTGACATCTGCCTCAATGCCTAAAGCCCTTGACTAAGTTTTCCCCTGGAGTTAGACTCTGGCGGGACTTTGCCAATCTGACAGCCTCCTGGTGCAGGGGAGAAAGCAGGAAGTAGTGCTGCCGCCTGGTGTTCACGGAACATCTTAGGAGTGCGCCTGCGTTTATTGGGGTAGAAAAAGTGAGGTCTGGGGAAATTAAGGGATTTGATTTAAAGTCAAGATCATTCATAAAAGAGAAGTAAAGTTTTCAAAGAAGAGTCAAGAACTTTCAAATTCCAGTCCCAACTTTTCCTTAAAAGCTGGGGCCATTAGCCCCCCAGCCTTAAGATGGGATCACACACCTCCCCCCGACCTGTCTGGGTGGAAGAGAGGTTCCAATGCAATCAGAAACTCAGAAACATTTTATGAAATCACATAGTGTCTCCTCATCAATATTCAATTGTCCATTTAGGATGGGCAGAATATCTTCGGAAGCCCTTTTCTAAAGTATCTCTAAAGTGGATGTCTGTGAGTAAAAGCCATTTGTAGAGAAGGCAGTTCTATGTAGGAACATTTGGTTTCATGCTCAAATAACTGATCGATCATGTGTAAAGCTGTCCAATTGTGGAGGAATACTATGGCATCAAAAAACTGGTTTGCAGAATGTAAAGAAACAGCTTTGAGGGCACTTGAAAAAGACAATAATTTTTTTATAATTATGAAATTAAACAATGTTAATTGAATAAGATTTTCAAAACTGAAAAATATAAAGGAGAACATTTTTAAATCACCTATAATCTCTCCCACAGAGTGACAAGCACTGTTAATATTTTTGGCCTTTTCCTTACAAGGAGCTTTCTGAAAAGCTAATCCTTAACGGCCCATCCAGCTGTCACCTTTATTATTATCTTCACTTACAAGCCATAACTAAAACTGCCTATTGCGAGTCCTCAGTCAACGTCACGAAGCCACATATGGAGTCATTTGACCTACGACAGGTCCTCTCCTAGCTCCCGTTGCCAATCGAATCCCTTCAGGGATATCTGCACGCAATGAAAATGCTCCATGAAAACGTGCATTATCGAACTCAGTTCATAGCCAAGGGCCTTGCTAATGATTTCTAACCTCTGACTCTGTTATTTTATATACCACTTCCTCCTGTGCTCCTCCCGCTCAAAAGCAAATGGGAAAAACAAGGCACATAAATCAAGACAGTGAGAGAAGCCAAGTTATAGGAAGGGAGGCGCATGGAAACCTATTTAAGGAGGCTAAATTTATTTCACTGTGCAACCCCTGGAGACTTGCAATAGATGGGATGTTACAGAGAATATATATTTTACCTCACTGTCAAGCTGTGCGAACAGGGAAATGAGCAAAGAACCGAGCCACACAAGAAGATGTGCTTTATGATGCTTGTCCCAATATGAGACTTGGTCAGGGTTCCTGAGAACGGGTCTTTTACTGGTTATAACTGGGACTATGTACTGTCCAATTCTAGGGACTTCGTGAGTGAGGGGTAAAGAAGGAGGAGGCAATGAACAGGAGACGGGGAGGCAGCTGGGCTTCTCAGTGCGCTTTCTACCATGTGCCGCGCGGCCCCGCCCCGCCCTCTCTGCTCAGCAGCATTCAGCCCGCCCTTCTAGTCCACTCTCCATTGGTTTCTACTCTGTGGTCTAGCAAGCCCGTGGAAAAAATAAGCCCAAAGTCCAGAGCTTCCAAAGACCTGAGGAAAGTGTGGGAGTGCTGGGGATTCTTGGAGATCCAAGGGTGGATCTCCACCCTTGGAGAAAGGGTGGCTACCACTAGGGAATTCTGAGTTAGCTAAAATCCTCCCACCTACTGATCCTGATAATGAGAGGGATTGCCACAGACCATTGCGCTGGTGGTGGTGGTGGTTTTAATTCTAAGCGTTTAGGGAAACCCGCCATGCAGATTTCTTGAACATGGTCAAGTTACAAGAATCTGAACAGTGTCCCCTAAAGATGGGGCATGAAAATATTAGGGGAAGACAAGTTGAGAGTGAGACAAGGGTAAGAATTCAAAGTTATATTAATTCCTGAAAATGTAACCAGTGACAGTACAAATTTCCCAAGCTGGGAATATCTGACAGGGCCCACTGACTGGGGGTCGGGAAAGGCTTGCGTTTCATACAACGCGAAACGCGCTCTACCTTCAGGTCCAGGTGGAGAATGTTCATCTGGTGCATGTGCCGTATGCCCTCACATATCTGCTTCATGAACAGGATGGTGTCAAGCTCGGTCAAGTTGCAGTTCTCATCGATGATGCGGTCGAACAGCTCCCCACCATCCACACTGCGGAGGGAAGAGGAGTGAGACCCTTGCCCTGATTGCTGAACCACCACATGCCTTGCTGTGGCAACGTGGTGTGCAAGTTCCTGTACCTTCCCTAAAAGGTGTGTGCACAGTCACTCCTCTGCCTTCTTTTCTATCTCACTTAGCTGAGTCTTACGTCAAAAGCCCACGTTGTGTGTACCTTCAATCTCATAAAAGGAAAGTCTCAAAGTTCCTTTTGTTCAGTGGCTTTAGCTCTAGGGTGTGTCCACATATACTGTTCTCTAAACACATTGAAGATACAGAGGACCCAAGAACATACGGCAGGTATTCCAAACCCCGACTGACGGTTAGCCAGGGTTCCAGCTCTTTAAGTCTCCAAATTAGTTTCAGTGATGAAGTGGTTCTGTGTGGCCAATGCTAGATATGGGAGTCCCCTGTATCCTTGCGGTATCTGTTCCAAGACCCCAAGTGCCTGAAACTGCAGGTAGTACCAAACCCTATATATGCTATGTTTTTCCTATACATACCTAACTATGATAAAGTTTAATTTATAAATTAGGTGCAGTAAGAGATTAACAAAAATAACATAATAAATTAGAACAATTATAATAACATGCCAGCATCACTACTCTTGTGCTTTGGGGCCATTATTAAGTAAAATAAGGATTATTTGAACGTAAGCACTGAGATACAGTTATAGTCAATCTGATAACCTAGATAGCTACTAAGTGACCAGTGTGGGGTGCTGCATACAGCGGAGGCTCTGGACAAAGGGATGATTCATGCTCAGGGTGAGATGGAGCGAGATAGTGCGAGATTTTGTTACACTACTCAGAACAGCTAGCAATTTAAAACTTATAAATTGTTTATTTCTGGAATTTTCCACTTAGTGCTTTAACTGAGACCATGGAAAGTGAAACCACGGATAAGGGGTATACTTTATTACCCAAAATGCCTCTTGCACAATGAGAAACAAAACCCAAAATGGAAAAAAATGGACCGAATCACAATAGCGATTCAGTTTTAGTTAGAACTGCAGTCAGCCCTCCATGTCCGTGGGTGCCACATTCATGGAGTCAACCAATCATGGATCAACAATATTCAACAATAAAAATTAAGAATATGACAATAAAAAATAAAAATTTTAAAAGCAACACCACTGTTTACATAGCATTTATATTGCATTAGGTATTGCAAGTAATCTAGAGACAATTTAAAGTGTACAGGAGAATGCGCACAGGTTATCCAGATACTGCACCCATTTATATCAGGGACTTGGGCATCCTTGGACTTTGGTATCCCCAGGGGTCCTGGAACCAATCCCCTGCGGATACTGAGGGATCACTGTACTCATTTTCTAATTAACCAGTCACTGAGTTTTTATAAAGGTGATTTTGAGTGGAAGCTTCTTAGCCCTAATCGCTAATAGTCTGGCATGAACTTTGCATTAGCGAATATGTCAAAATTGAGATATAGCTCAAAAGCCACGTTCCTCCAGGAGGCCCAGGAAAATATTTAAGCATGAGTTTTGACAGTATAGCTTAGCTACAAAGCTAGGTCTGCTTGGTCCCACTACTTCTCATCAGTAATATCACACATGAGATGTGGAATCACAAGTAGTTTCCTTTCTGAAATTGATGTCACTGTGTGATTCACATGAGTTGGAATCACTGGTGCGCCGAGCTCGGTCCTGGCCCCTGCTATTGAGGGACAGGGCTGCAGTCGGGTTGTCAGGAGTGACGTGGGGGAGGCGTGTGGAGGAGGGCAGGAGGGGACACGTACTACTCCATGACCAGGACGATATCATTCTTGGACTCGAAGGCGTCGTAGAGCTGAATGAGGTTGGCGTGGTCCAGCTGGTTCATGACGCTGATCTCGTTCCTCACTTCCTCCTGAGAAGGGGACAGGGCGCCTTAGTGCGGCCAAGACGGGAGGGGAGGGGGAGAGCTGCCCCCCAGGGCCTTTACCTTGTCCTTGGAGTCTCTGGTCTTAATGATTTTGGCTGCCAGCTTCAGACCTGTGGCTGTCTCTTCACACTTGTGAACCTGGCCAAAGCGCCCCCTGCCAAAGAAGAGGAAGCAGTGCAGCATGAGACACTCGGCGCCCAGCCCAGCATCAGTCCCTGCCACGTGGGCAGCGCACGGTGGCTCCGGGCACTTCTTTCTCTGAGTGTGACTGAGCAAACCTATGAGCTCATCTACTGTATCCAAGGAACTCCTAGACGGTATTTGTCAAGATCACCTAGAGGGGTGTTGAGAATGCAGGTTTCTGGGCCCTTCCCCAGACCTACTGAGGCAGGAATCCAGGGTAAGGCCCCAGAATCTGCATTTTCAGCACATTCTTTGGGTGATTCATACACGCCCTAAAATTTGAGAACCACCTTTACAGACAACACAGAATCTCTCTGAGTACATATGAGTGTAATAAACTGGGCCTTGTCAGTATCTGAACAATACAGCTTGTGGTCAGGAATATCAAATTATTTTTGGAAACTGCATATAAATAAATAAGATGTAATAACAATATTGCATATAATACATATAATCAAAAATACATATTGCTTATGAGATTTTTGACAGTTTTGTTTGCATATTCTTACCCATGTAATTACCTACAGAAATGCACACTCACAGTTTTTAAATGTGATTTGCTTACTTTGGTTCCTTATTTAGTGAAATAAGCTAGAACACGTGTCCCTGCTCTGTGCGATGGTGGCCCGCACAGCAGGGAGTGAAGGGGGCCCCCCCTGACTACACAGTGAACCTAAGGCAAGACCTGTGGCAATTCTAGAGGACTTCAGAGACGAGGGTCATAGCAACACTGGACAGACACAGGGCCAGTGGCAGCCACCACCTCCCATTCAACTCAGCTACACACCCGGCCCAGAAGCAGACGATCTTGGAGAATGACATTGGATTACCATAAACACAGCCAGGTGGTGACTTCAATTCCAGCCACTGTTCCAGATGTAGTCTCCACTGGAGCACATGAGCACAGCCCTAGGCACCTCCTGTGTGGCTGTTGGTTAAGAATATGCTTTTCCCTTTCCTTAGCAGTGGCCTGCAGAGCCTTCTGGCCCAGCATGGTGCCCCATTGCTGTCTGACTTTCCAGCTCTCTCTGGTGATTTCTTCTGAAGGGCTTTGAATGCTGAGGCCGCTTCCCAAGATTCATGTCGGCCCAGTGCGCTGATAACCTCATGCTATCTGAACACGGCCATCAGGGATGATAACTAGCTGAGAGGCCTCGGGGCAGGGGAGGAACCCCCTGGAAAACTCAGGGGCCTGCCGCTGCAGGCAGGTTTTGGGGATCCAGTGATCTTTGGCATGTTGCAATGCAACATTGCTGCCAAAAGCAAAAGGTTAAGTTGCTGCGTCTTGAACCTCCTCCCACTAAAAAGAAGGCACAGCACCTGATGATGTCTTTGCATTTTGAAGGCAACAACGCACGTTAGATTTTGTTTCTCTAACTCATTTGCCGAGTGAATTGTGGCTGCCAGATTTTGGTGGACCCTAGAACCAGAGATGACCAGCAGCTGGTCCGGACTGCAGGACAGCCAAAAAGATGCGGTGGTGTCCAAAGAGACAGAAAGGAAGTTTCAAAGGCGCCACTGACAAACCTTGACCAGAAAAACAACACAAACCCTGGGAATTAGTTCAAAGCTTCTTCTGCAAATAACTATTTTCTGTTAGAGAAATAGTTGCTGGCTTGCCACTGAAGTCCCTGCAGACCCAAATACCCCAGACTTGCATGGCACCAGTTCCTGTTGTGGAATTCGCATTTCTCCCTCAGACTGTCCCCACTGTCACACGGGGCGTTCTCTGTGATCAGCCAGCTGAGGAAGGAAACGATCAGGTGGCTCCATGGGACAGAGGGAGCGCAGTATGGAATGGGAAGAAGAAGGGATTTTACAAATATCAACTACATCCCAATGACCAGTTGCAGAAACCTGTTCTGTAGTAGCTGTGTATATTTTCCATGTGTTGGGAGGTAAATTTTGTACACATGTAGGTGAATGTCCTGCTTTCCACTCCCTATTTTATGTAGACACGGTGACCATAGTAAACGTTATAATTTAGGCTTTGAGTTACAAGGTATCATAGGAGGATTGCGAATGAAGCAGAAGAGGAAAAAATGTCAATCCCCCCAGCATGAAGATGGTCCCTGATGGACTTTAATCTTCCTTCTTTAGGGACAGAGTGTGTATTTAGATGTCCCTCGAATAAGTTCTTTGGTGAGCAGAGTCATCAGCTGAAATTGATAATATTTGTTAATACAGTAACAATATAAATGGGGCACAATGATGCAAGAATGATGAAAAGATTTAGCACATGCCACAAGAACTACATTATGGACCCGGTTCCACATTCTGTGTCCCTGTGCCCACGCCGTGGCTTTGGACAGGGCTAGCCCTTCCGGTGGCTCACACTGGGTTTTTCTCACTCTCAGACATTACAACATGGCAAGTAAAGCGGATAATAAACGCTGAGTGTAGTCACCACATCAACCTTTCTGGCATCGGTGACCATTTTCAGTAATGGTTAAAATCTCTTAAAATGTTTGTTTATAATATTTCCAGTTCTCAGGCTGAGACCAGCAAACATTTATGAAGTCCCCAGGCTCTGTCTCTTTGGAAACTCTCTTCTTTTATTGAAAGACTGTTAAAATGGAGTGTTACTTACCCTCCTAAAATTTCTGTTTGGCTCACAGTGTAGAAGTTGTTGACTGCTGCTAGCTTGGCTGTCACAATACGATGGCCGAATGGGGCAGGAGGAGCTGGGACGTCATCTAGAAGGCGAGAGGAAAAGAAGGGCCATCTGTCAAGCAGTCCCACCTCTTTACAGCAGCAAGCTTGTGCCCCACAGCAAAAACGTGCTCATTTAATAACAAAATACAGTGAGCCATCTGTTTTATTCCTAATGATCCAGGAATATAAATTTTCACTTCAGATTATGAGCCGTGACTCACGAAGGTGATGTCTGACATCTTAGAGAGTGACAGTGGGGACCACTCAACAATCGTTCGTACCTTCTTCCCGCCACTTTTAGAAATGTGAAACTAGCTGAAAATCTCCAACCCCAATACAGTCCAAACAGGTAATACTTCCAAGCCTAAGACCATTTTAATTCAAATATGAGAAACTGTTTGATCCATTTTTTTAAAGAGCCACTGATACAGTCCGTTACTTTAATTAAAGTGGAGAGAGAAAAATGAAACATTTCTTCATGTCATTGAAGTGTTTGATGTTATATATTGCTTTCCGAAATGTTTTAGAGTTTATTTAAGACAAATTTAAGGCACAAAGATGAATTTTTCCTGGCTGGCTGGAAATAAAACACCCACTAAAACTAGGTAAGTGTGTATTCCATAGCTATCAAATTTCTCCCACTTTCCACCTTCCATCTTAAGTGTTTAAACGCTAGTCTACATCAGCATCGGTTCTGACATGCATAAATACTTAGTAATGTTTTTCCCAGTATTCTTTTACTTTTCCATGACTACTGCTGTTAAAATTTGCTTGCCATGAACCTGTTCATTCTCCATTGATTCATTTATTAAGCAGCTGCTGCATGCATACCATAGGGATACAAAGGGAGGTGAGTAGATAATAGCTTTGCTTTCAAATATTTACATTTATTTAACATATGTTTCTTGAGCACTTATCTTATACCAGGCACTCTGCCAAGTGTTAATATTTTTAAAAATTCAGATAATATAAATCTCCTGGAATATGGTTTGATATGGACATTCACCTCTCACGCCATAAATATGCTGAAAAAATGAAGTCATGTGAGAATTCTCTTGGTAGCATTCATTGCTTCAGATTTTTAAAAAAGAGGGGTTGAGTTAAACACACAAATGGCATCAATATGACATTCTGTTTCCTGCAGGCCGTTAGATTAAGTGAAATCTGGTTGGAAATGCTTGCTGGAAAGGTTAAAAAGCCTTAGCAGGCCAAAACAAAGCCATTTCCTACCCAGTGGGGTCACGAGATCTTGCTCTCGGGAGGTCTTCGTCCCGGTGGACTCCCGGGTTTTGCCCTGTGAGCTCCTCTGGGTGTGTCTGGCTTCCTGTGTCTTTCTGCACGTGTGTCCTTCACCTGTGCCCACTACGTCTACTCTGCTCTTTTTGTTGTCCTCACTGACGGAGCGCTCCTCTGTCACTCTGCGCTTGCTGCTGCCAGAGTGCGCTGTTTGCCCAGCGTTCTGGACGACGGCTGCCGCTGCTGAATTCCCCGGGAACTGTGCTGTGGAAATGGCCTTGGTGCCGCTGACACACCTGGAAAATAAAATCCGCTTGCAGCGCTCAAAGTTGCAAGGAGAAAACTTTCGGATGGTCAAAATTCTTAGAACTAAGGCTTTCTTAAAATGGCGTTTTGGTGAAGAGGATGTAAGCTCCAAGATAGAGTTGACCATTGCAGTGTCTGGGGATAAAATGGAGCAGTATGCTTCCCAGCAAATCTCCGGGTGTAGATAACCGGGATCCCAGAGAGTCGCCACAACGATCTCATCGTGACCGGCCCTTTATAAAAGCAGTCATTTTAAAAATACCCAACTAATTTGGTCTCCATTTGTCTCACCTCCTTTCCTTATAGAAGAAATTATGACAGCATGATAAAAGCAGCAATAACCTCTCTGAATATTAGCAGCAGTGAGAGCAAACCTTTATTGGTGGAAGAATTGACCTCATTTCAGCTTTTCTGCAGCTCCCAACTTTACTAAGCACATTTTTGCAGTGATGGAGTTTCTTAGTAATCATTAGTGTTTATGTTTAATTCTTGGGAAATTAAATTTCTCCAAGATTAGGTTTCAAACATATTATTAAAAAATGAAATAAGAATGACGTCTTAATCCCTAAAACAGACCACACAGGTGTTTTGATGCTCTTTGTTCCAAACAGGTACCATGGTTCGTCATAACCTAGAGTCATTAATTTTAATGGGCTACAAAAGTACCTGAATTTGTATGTGAAACTTCGCAGCTGAGGAAGAAAGTCATTCAATAATATACTTCTTAATCCTCACAATATCTGGGAGAAAATAGCCAATTTGTCATGTGTAATGGAGCAGGTAACCTTTTTCAGGTTTAGGTTTTTAACTTACAGATTAATCTAATCATTATTTAATTCTTGACCTTAGGAAGCATGTGTTCAATATCACTAAAAATAAAAACTTTTTACTTAATCTTTAAAAAAATACTGATTTCTGTGAGGACTATTAATCACCATCTTTGTCTATCAGTTGGTAGAAAACTTAGAAAACAATAAAATGCCTGAAAATATCATAGGCAAAAAAAAAAAATAATGGTAAGCAAATGTGACCATGAAAAATCCACATAAGCTGAGAGACTTGGTTCTAAGTCATTGGTTTAAAAACTCTCTTCATTTATCCTTTTAATATGGCCTTCAATTGTAACGGCACACAGATCTACGAACATCAATTGTGGGTGTGTAATGCTGTAACCCTACCTTTCACGGAATTGGTCACCATTAGTTTTATCAACGTGTTGCTTTTTATGTGGACATCGGTCCAGCACTATCTCATTTGCAGCTGCCAGTCCTCCTTTTTTCTCAGCTTCTCTTCCTCTAATATCTTCCTTAGAATGAAGCCCATTTTTCTCTTCTTTGAACACTAGACGTTCGTTTTTACCCACAGTGGCTTGTTTATCGTCTCCAGCACTATCGTCTTCTTGTCTGTTCAGGTTCTCTGTGCATGAAATGCCTTTTCCAACTATATCCTCTCTCGGCTCTATGCAATTCATTGGAGCAAAATCTTCTACCTCATCTTGACTTTCCATATGATAAATGGCAAAACTTCTCCGAACTAGAGAGGCGCTGGTCTTCTCAGCATTTTTCTTGTTGAGTTTATTAACATTTTCTTTCTCAGAGGAGAGCTGATTCTTCTGGGCAGATCTCTCTAGAAGCCACCACAGGACACAAAATATTTTAATGGAGAATGCATGTGATCGGTGTAATTCTGGCTCCATACAATGGCATTCACATTTCTTTTTATTAGCAGATGTAAGCTTTTAAAAGCAAAGTAGAAGGAAATATGACCAATTGACTGACAATTGGCTTCCAAAAGATGTTTTTGTTTGTAAAAGGTAGGAGCCAACCCCATATAGGTATTCAAAAAACAGCACTTTTCCCTACACAGGGCTTTATGAAAGTGTAACTTCTTTCGAATAAGAATAATAACGTGATTTTCTAACAGAACTCTCTTTCTGTGTAATTATCTTATCTTCTAAAGATGTTACCTGTGAGGGCTGATGTCCTTTTGCCTTTGACGGGCATCCCTTCTGTCAAGCCGGAGTTGGACCACACCGTCTCGCTAGCCTGTGGATACACAAGTAACTGAGGTTACATATTACATCGGGTTTTTCACCCTCAGCACTACCAACGCTTGGGACTAGACAATTCCTTGTTGTGGGGACTGTCGTGAGCATTATAAGATGTTTAGCAGCATCACTGGCCTCTATCCACCAGATGCCAGCAGTTCCCAGTTGTCAGGACGCAAATGTCTCCAGATCACTAAACATCCCCTGGGAGCAAAATCATCCAAGGTTGAAACCAGTATATTTTATGATTCAAACATAGAAAAAACACAAAAAGTAATAATAACGTAGAGGGCAGAACAGTCTGAATTAATGACTACAGTGTCTGAAATGAACTCACTATTTTCAAAGAAATTCTGCAAAACTCTGTCATTGTTTGTAGAAGAAAGCCCACCTTCATGAATAGATTAAAGGGTATTGATAGTGTGTATGTCACCCTTGACCTCTGTTTAAGTTGTCTTGATATGGTTCACATATAAATCGAATAAAAATGAGAGGATAAATACGAATGGGCTCCGTAAACCAGAAAGTGGGAGATGAAAGTAAGCTTTATAAATGGAGCTTTCACATTGCTTAGAACAGATGGCCCTTTTCCTGAGTAGATAAACATTCTTCTCACAATCCTGGATTCTCTGAAAATTAGTTTGGCAAATCCTTTGCTAACGTATACCATATAAAAAGTAAACATTAGCCTGATCCACCCAAATTATCACAAATTCTAAAGTTATGCATTATAAATTAATGAAATTGTGTGGATATGTAGTCAGTCTTTTTCCCCCTCCTTTGAAAGAGAACACAGTTTGCCTTAGGGTGATTTGCAAACATAAAACACCAAGTGCAGAGCATAGATATCAAGACAAATTGCAAATGTGCTTTTGAACAATTCGAAGGGCAATTCCACGGGTTCTGAGTATTTCCATTTTTCAGACGGGGCCTTAGAACACAGAGGCATGTTTAGTAAATCCGTGGAAAATCAAGGTTGGACGTTAGAGCCTCACGGTTTCTACTTTAAGTGAAAGTGCAGGGCTGGCATTTGCACACTTATCCCTCTGCAGGGAAAACGCCTTCAACTTCCTCAGGCGAAGCTGGTGCTGCTTCCTCTGTGCTTGCACGGAGCTCAGCACATACCCCTACCTGGCACCCCTTACAGCACTTACCTGAACTTTTCTTTCCGGCAATTTCACACTAGACTGTGGGCTTCTGCTGGGCAAAAAGACCTGGTCATCTTTGATTCCTTGGTGCTTAGCCAGAGACGGCACACAGTGACACTAATGATGATGGCGGTGGTGGTGGTGACAGTGTCAGTGGGCAGCATATCCTGGGCACAGACTATGTACCAGGCTCTATTCTAAGCACTTAACACTATTAACTCAGTCGCTCCTCGTAACAACCCTTTAGGATAGATCCTACTAACCCCATCTTATAAATGAAGTTGGGTAATTTCCCAAGGTTATAAAGTCTGGAAACGGCAGAGTGGGGATCCTAACTCAGCTGCGCCCCTAACTACTACACCGTACTCTCACTCTGGAAGAAAACAGAAGTATTATAGCCAAGTCACATTATTAATATTTATCAAGATCTACCACAGAGTTGGGATCACAGGAGATAAGAAAGAAGATTAAGAAAGAAGGGCATAAAACAAAAACAAATTAGCAGAGTGAAGAAATAAATATTTATTGGTCAAAAGATAAGAATTAACATGGAAGAGAGGAAAAGAAGAAAAAAGAAATTAGTCAAAGAAGACGGTTTAGCAAATTGTGTTTAATCTATTTATAGCTGTCTTTCAATTGTTCCCGTGGAGATGAGAACTCTAGCTGCAGCGATAAGCACTGTGCTTCTGGATTTATTAAGCGTGGCCTGAGCATAAGGGTAAAAGCGTACATGGCCTTAATCACGAAAACTGGTGTGAATCAGTAAATTTCAGTCCATCAAAATACATAAAATTGAGAATTTGGCTGTAAGACTCCGTGGAGCGCCGATGGATCGACGTTTGTCTCTGAAGCTGTCCAAGCGTCAGACAGCAACTGTCCGCGAGCCGGGCCAGCGTCCTCCGGTACAGAGTCTGACTGGACCACAGGAGAAGCTGCTGGTCCTGAGGAATATAAGAAATCGGCTTCCAAACCGGGCTGTTTTTTTCTTTGTAATTATATATCATCTATATTTTACCATTTAAATAAGGTAAGAAGGCCTTTATTCCTTGCCAAAGGCTATTATATTTTCATTTCCCTATGTAACACTGACATCTAGAGGAACTTTGAACTGAAGAGTTTCCAATAAACAGAAGTTGTATGTCTCCTTTTCTTCCCCAGGTAGCAACCTCAAGAACTTCAATACGAATGAAATGTTTTTAGTTTGTATTTCCAAGTTATGTGTAGAAGATGCTAAAATAGGAAGCACAAGTCCGTAGATGTATCTTGTTTGTTGTCCAAAAAAATATGTTTTTTACTGGTTCAAGAGGATGGGACCAGTGCTGCCAAGCTTGAAGTTGCTGAAACAATTCTGATCATTTCCAGTTAATGGGATGAAAGTCACATCGGGGTTATATTCCTCTGCTGAATTCACAGTGATAGCCGAGCTGAACCTAAGGACCTCGTTTCATTCAAGTTCACTAATTTATTCATTCACTTAAGAAATATTTATATATTGGCATATGGATTACTTTGCAACTATTTACCAATTCCTTTTGTAATAATTTATTATGTTAGTGGATTTAGGATGACATAGGGAAGAAAGGCAACATGGCCCAGATGGCCAGAAGCACAGGCCAGCTCTCTTCACTCTGTCTGGTTCCCAGACTGGTCTCCTAAGTGGGCTGTATACACCCAAGGAGCGTCCACAGTAGTCTGTTGGACAGTGGGAAGGAACCATTACAACTCATTCCTATTTATTCCATTACTTACGGACTAAATGTTTCTGTCCCCACCCCCCCCAAATTCATATGTTGAAATCCTAATTCTCAAGGTGATGGTCTTAGGAGGTGGGGGCCTTTGAAGGTGATTAGGTCAGAGAGTGGCGTCCTCATGAATGGGATTCGTGCCCTTATAGGAATAGACATGATACCTGGTTGATCCTGCCTCTAAAAAAAAAAAAAAAGAAAGAAAGATGTGAGAGCTTACTCACTCTTTACAATGAGAAGAAGGCCATGTGCAAACTAGGAAGTAGGCCCACACTTGATCTGCCAGCACCATGATCTGGAATTTCTCAGCCTCCAGAACTGTGAGAAATAAATGTTTGTTGTTTAAGCTATCCAGTCTACAATAATTTGCTATAGCAGCTTGAACCAAGAAAACATTCTCTTAAATTTTATATCTTATATATGTTTTAAAATATATATTAATACAATTGGACACATATAAAATGTATAAGTATCTATGATATATAAAATATTATTTATAAAAATAAATATATTAGACTGGTTATCAATGTATATAATTTATAAGTAAATATATTGGGGCATGCTTAAAAATCTTACTGATAGCAGTGCAAAATCAAAATGGTTTGAACACTGTTCTTCTAAATAATACCATTTCTCACATTCTGATTTTCTGAAGTATGTTTTGGAGAAGATTTAGTCTGCATAGCAGGTTCGAGAGCAAGTACATGGTTAGAACTATCAGTGCAATTCTTGCAAACTCTTTTTCTCCTTCTGCAAAGTACTGCTTCTCAAAGGGCAGGATTCATCGCTCAAATGCCAGTTTTGACTATTTAACCAATCGAAAGTAAGCACTTTGTACTCTTCCCTTCGTTGGCAATTAGACTGATCGACACAGGATCCAGACCTGAACAGGAGGCAGCATCAGCCCACAAGAGTGCACCCAGCTACCTGGGCACAAGTCACGCTGCCCCGTATACCGCAGGCCTGCCTCAGGGCTACACTGAAATCTTACTGTCCCTGAAAGCGGTGGAATAACTGAAACGGAAATTAATTCAACGGGACAAAGCCCCTCTTTCGTTCCCATTCAATAAAAATCAATTTTTAAAAATTCAGTCCTAACATGGATTTAACCTTAAAAGAACAGAAAGGCTAAGAGAGCAGCTGCCTCCTCTGGACCTCAACAATGCTATGATCACCGTCTGTGTCGCTGTGCTGTTGGTCGACGTGTCTGCCTGCCCACTAGAATATAGACCCTTCTCTTCCCCTGTTCCCTTGGCACCAAACAAGGGGTTAGGGTTCTAAAAGTGCTTGGCGAAGCAATGTGTGATGAAGGAAAGAAGACGCGTCCCTGGGAACAATGCCGTACCTGGGAGAACGCACCGTCACGAGGCTGCGTCAGTGAGAGGCCAGGCGGCGGCTGCCACGGGGACCACCTCGACGCATCCCTGCCGCTGCCGCTCGCACCCACGGCCCTGCACTTATGTAGCTGACACTGAGTGGCATCCACAGCCCTGCATTTGGGGATTACAGTTGCTGCAGAAAATTGTGTTCGTGACATCACATATGGGGCACGACTGGATTGTGTGCCCTGCGTAATGACTTTTCATATTACTGCTCATGGAGACGCCAAGATGAACACGTATTGGTCATTTTAACCTAAGGCCCAGAAATATCACAATAAAGTTATGACAATTTATAATGACTTTGTTAAACTTTGATTAGGCTCCTAATGGGAGAGAGAAAAATAAATAAATCCTAAAAGAATTCAAAGGGAGGAATTTTCAGAAGAAATACTAAAACTACGTTTCCTTGCTGAGCATAGGAGATAATTTTAGAGATCGTTTATAAGACAAATCTATTTCTCTTCGTCCTCAGCACACACTCGAGCTCTCTGTGCATTAAGTGAGAAAACACGCTGCAGTCCTGGGCTAGCAGAGCACAACCCTCGTGACCTGGGGCTGGCGGGTGAGAGGCGGGACGGGGTCTGACTGGCCGATCCCAGAAAGGGGAAGTGTCCGCCTTGACCTCGGGACGCAGTAAGAGGACGCTCCGGGGCTGCTGCTGACACTGAGTAGAATCGAACAATCGCCTGACAAAACAGCCCTGCCAGGAAGATCAAGCCGTTG